TATTGCTACCTGCTGCTGCCACCCTAACAAATCAGGCTTCTGACTCAGCCTCAGGGCACAGGAGGCCGGGCCCTCAACTGAGGGTCAGCTACCTGTCGCTATGTCTCCAGGACAAAGAACAGGAGTTGCTTGGAGAAGAGATGAGAAGAGGGCATGGTGAGCTGGGACAAGGTGAGGGCATGCTGTCTTTCAAACACCTGGTGAAGGACAGTATTTCATAAGATCGGGGCCTCGTATCAAACTCCAGCTGGTGCCACTGGGGCCAAGGTGGGGATGTCTGGGTGTCATCAGTCACTTGTTGGCTTTTGTAGCTGCTGCCCTGAAGTGCTCAACCTCCCACCCCCAGGCAGCTGATAAACTCCCAGAAAACTGCAGGTGGCAAAAGTCCCCCATCATTCCTCACCTTCTACCAAAGATGTTCGGGATGACATCTTTTGGCCACGTTCTGCAGCTGCCTGGCCCCCACAGGAATGGCTACCGCCTGGCACAGTGGGTCCCCTAAATATCAGCACCAGAGTCCGGCGGGGTCACAGTTTGCTAGCCAGCATGGGTGCTGATCGCTAAGCAAGCACAACACTCTGGTGAACAAGAGGCATCCTTGGAGCAAGGTTGGCCCCCACCATACAATCCCCCAACTAAGCAAGGGTGCCAGAGAGAAACCTTGAACAAGTGAAGCTCCCTACTTGTTGCGCAAGCAAGTTCCAGTGGAGACAGCGTTGCCATTTCACACCCCAGCACTGCAGACGGGCGGATTCAGAATGACTGCAAACTCCACCTCCTTCCTGGCCTGTGACCTCGGGCCAGTTACTTAAATCTCTCAGCCCCAGTTTCTTCATCTGTAAAATGGGGATCATAATAGTACCTACCTGATGGATGACTGTGAAGCTTAAACAAAATAATAGAAGTAAATTGCCTCTCCTGAACTGATGATGCTTGGGGCATTGGCAACACACAATAAATGCCAATTGCTATTATTACCATCATTTTCATCATTGTTACAAGCTATCCCATCACATAATGTACAGCAATAGCTCCCTGAGCTACGCTTTATTGAGATTCAGTGCTCTAAGCTCTGGCCCCTGTGCTAGGAAATTTACATGATTTCCTCGTTTTGTCCTCACTACATCCTTGCCGGGTAGAAACAGGCCCACAGGGTTCAGTGATGTGCCCAAAGATATGTCAGCCACCACTTAGCCGCTATAAACCCCCAAATCACTTCTGCCAGCCAGTAATGAATGATGCTGTAGGTGGCATTTTTTTCATTCTGAGGAAGCTTCTTTATAGGGATCATAGAGGTTACCTGAGTCAGCTGGGATCAGAGATGCCCTCCAAGGAGCCAAAGACACACAGCTTATTGGACCAAAAATGGTCCATGGGTGGAGGGCATCCAATCAGATACCACAGGGGTCACGTGGCATGCATGAAGGCAGCATGCAATAAATAAATACAGCGAGGATGGAGAGGTAAGTCCGTGGTTCTCTACTTCTCTGGGAAACAGGTTCACTCCTGAGTCAGCATCTTCCACACTGAGCAGCAGAGTCTAATCCCTTATGTTTCGTCCATAGCTAACCTTAGAGACAGATTCCTCAGAAGCCAGGGCTCCTTCTACCTCCCTCCCTCCCCCTGTTTGTCACCCCCAGACCAAGGAAGGAGGGTGAGCCCCAAGGAGGTAAGTGCTTCTCGCAGCCCATCCGAGGTGGCTAGGCACCCCAAGGGTCCAAGACTCGGCCACTCTGCAGCTGGAATCTTCCTAATGCTGACTCCGGGCATTACCATCAGGGGTAACAAGATGCAGGATCACCACCCTTCACAGCATAGCCAGAGCCAGAGCTAACTGTGACAAACGGGCGGACAGACTCAGACTGGCAGGGACACAGCCTCAGAGGCTCCCTCGGCTGGGTCATGGGAGGAAGGCTGGCACTGGGGCCCAGAGGCAGGAAGTTCTCCTCTGCACCTCAGAGTGACATGAGATCGGGACTGTTGGAAGCATGGGGGAGCCGGTGCCAGCAGCTGTGTTCTCCCAACAGCCCTGGCCTGGAGACTCCAAAATCAGCATTCTAAGTGAGTCAAAAGATCTGCCTAGGAAAAGCCACTTTGCATACTCACTGGGTAAGCCTTAGGGTTTTTCAGCTCTGGAATGGACCTGCGTGGAGTCTCTTATTGTACAGTTGGGGAAACTGAAACCCAGATAGAGACAGGAAGACAGGATGCAGGTTAGATTTGCAGTCTACAACATGGGCAAGATCACTGACCTTTTGGAGCCTCAGTTTCCTGATCTGTAACATGGGAATGATGATGTCTGCCTCAAAGAGTGCAGTGAACCTTAACTGTGACAATGCAGCTGATGTGCTCAGCAGGGACAAAGGTCATACAGACAATTGGTGACAACACTGAGACTTCAGCAGAGAGAGTCTCATTTCCTGATCTGGAGCCTATTCCAACAGGCTGCCTCTGTTTCTATCATTTGTTAGGATCAAAGAAAATGGGACTGGTCCATAGGGGTCCAGCTAATATTTGGGTTACACACTTGTTCCCCCACTGAGACTAAAATGCTATCTTTCTCCTTCCTGGGAGATCAGAGAGCAACCTCTCTGCATACAAGTACCAGGACTGTCCAAAGAGACAATAGTGCTTCTAGGGCATCTTAGTATCAGGAGCTGATTTTAATTCAGAACTTTGCCCCTGCCCACAGGCAAGCAGAGAAGCCTCTCCTCTCAGATGCAGATGGGGCAGGCATGAAAAGTGGGGAGCTATGGTGAATCCTTGCCAAACTCTGGCAGAAGCAGAGATCTGAAAGTGCAAGTCTGTGGGTTGTGTTTTTGTTTTTTTTTTTTCTTTTTTTCAGCAAGCTGGAAATGTTTCTACTCTGGCCAGAATTAAAGTGCAGGGCTATGGTCAAGCCCTCTGAGGTGACCATGCTGACATTCACTCACGGGATGGCTATGCTCGAAGACAGATGGCTGCTGGAAGCAGCCACCCAGCATCACGCCAAGGTAAATTCCAAGCACTCTTAGGGCCGTAAGGAAGTGGGGAGTGTGAACTGAAAGGCATTTAGCCACAGCCTCAAAATTAACCATAGAGCCAGAGGATGGAAATGCTACTAGGCTAAGGAGCCAATAAACATCAGAACAACAGCTATCACTTATCAGGCACTTACTCTGTGCCAACCACTGTGCAGACAACTTGACAAATATGAGCTGATCTAATCTTCACAACCATCTATGACGTGAAGCTATTGTTATCCCCACTTTACAGATTAAGGAAACTGAGGCTCAGAGAGGTTCTTGACTTGCTCGAGGTCTGCACACTGCTCAAAAGTAACAGAGCTGAGACTGGAACCCAGGCAGCTCCCTCCAGGGCCATGACACCCTGCCCCACCCTGCTGTCGTTACACATCGGATATGTCATCACCTTTTTTCTTGTCTAGGCTCACCACGCAGCCCTCTGACTGCCACGCAGGCCCACCCACCGTCACGGAGTGTTTCTAGTCTCTCTGACAGTGATTTCTCTTGACAAATTGAAAAATTGGCCTTCTGGCGTTGACGTGTGTCATGAGTGCTATTTTAGTTTGCTTGATTCAGGGCCTCTACCCTCTGGGCACTGAGATAAGCCAGGCTCTGGAACTTATCCTAACTGATGTCCACACAAGTCTCTTCTGGTACCAGACCCTCCACTGATTCCTGCAGTGGACTCATGAGACACATCTGTGGCTTGTAAACTGAGTTCACTGTTCTGCCCCGGGCCAACCATCCAGCTGGGCTAAGGCAGTGGTTCTGAACCGAACAGTCTTGACACTGGACATTTGTGTTGGATGTTACATGTGCAGTTTTCCAGGGAGAAAATTAATAGATTGCATCCAATTCTTAAAGGGCCCATGGCCTCCCTATAAAAAGTTTTAAAACCCTTATGTAAAGGTAAAGAATAGAACCCGACATTTAGAGAAAGGTAACCCACTGGATATTTGAGGAACTTTGTTATCAAATCAGGCATGATAGATAAGCTTGTATACTCTGGAGTGAGACAGAATCAGATTCAAATCCTGACTCAACTACTCCATAGCTGTGTGACTTTAGGCAATTCTTTGATGTCCCTGGGCCTCAGCTTCCTCATCTATGCAATGGGAATAATCCATCTGTACCACTGATTATTGCAAGAACTAAATGATATCGCACATGTGGGTGAGTAGCACATACTGGTGCTCAGTAAACAACACTTATCATTTATCAGAGCATCAACATGTGGACACAGTCTGGCTGTATTAAGGGCAAGGGGTTATTTCCTACAAAAACTAGCACCCCCTCCTCTTCCTGAGTTCCCAGGCAATAAAGTTTTTGTCTTGGCTGGTGGACTGGTTGGGCTTTTTTCAGGGGCTCCCCTCTGACCACATCTGTGCCTGTTCAGCAAAAGGGGCCCCTAGGCAGAGAAGATTAAACACCTTCTGAGACATCAGCTCTTGATCACCAGAAAGTTCCATTTCCTCTCCAAGGAATAACCACTTTGCTGCAAGATTCATGGGAGCAGAATGTAAGCCACTCCAGGCCACGCTCAGCCCAGTTTGAACCCCAATCCATCTTTGAGATGTAAAGGTTACGCGCATTGACCCGCGATGGGGGAGAAAATTACAAAATTGAATCAGAGATGCCTTATCCACAGTGGCCAGGAAAAAATCCCGTGACCGGACTGCTGAGAAGCAGAGGAGAGAAAAGGCTGATGTTTCCTTTAATGCCCTGCAGGCTTGCTTCCCGCTGTCATCCC